TATACCATGGCGAAATGAAGCGACAAGAAAGACAGTATCATGAGGTCAAAGAGAAGAGAAGACAAGAAAAGAGAGAAAAGAAAAAGGCTTTTTCACACCAGTCACCACCATCATCTCAAAAAGTCACATTTTCAGTCACAATTCATTTTCTCAGTCATAGCAGCAGTGTCGCCCGATGCAGCAGCAGCAGCAGTTGCCGCCGTGCCGGCCTTTGGAGTGGTGGGCTGATGATGATAAGTAGTAGAGTGGAAGACGGTGGAGGCAGTCATCGGCAGGTAGTGACTGCTGCTGCTGCTGCTGTGGTTGAAGCTGTCCAGCTGGCCTTTGTACTCAAAGTAGAGCCTCTGCAGGTCGAGATTGGAGGCGAGAACGGTCAGCACCTCCCGGAGGAGTTCGTGCTTGCTGATGCCCAGTACCTTGTCGTTGTTCACACTGTCACCACCACCTCCCATCACCGAAGTGGACGTTATTCTACTCCTCGAAGCGGCAGGCAGCGGTGTGGAGAAGCAAGAGACCACTGAAGTGCTGAGACCAGCACTAGCAGCAGCAGCGGCACTTTGAGGAAACTGTCCACCAATGAGAAAATCACACAGCTCACGCAGACGGTGCTCAATGACTTCAGTGTCGAAGCCGGAGGCGTGATGCAAGACTAGATTTTGCACGAGTGAGGTCAGCCAGAAGCGGTAGTCTTTGCTGCTGGCGGTCCTCTTTGCCAACTCCAGCTGACGCTCAATGAAGCTAATCAGTTCTTGCTGAGCAGTGGGTGCGTTCGTAGAGAAAAAGTTTTGCACTGAACGACTGAGTAAGAATGGAAAAATCAGTGATTAGGTATAATTAGTCACCAAACAAAGAGGTCCTTACCTGGGCGTTTTGGCCACCGCCGGGGCGCCCCTCACAGCCGTCAGTGAGGTAGGCTTGAGATCAGTACAGGCACTCAGTGGATTGCTCACATCGGCAATGAGCACCCAGGAGGAGAGGTCACTCTCGTAGGCGTACGTCAGCCCATTGGCCACTGCCACCACTGGGCGGCCGTTGGCCTCCACCGACGCGTTCAGAATGGACAGCTGCTCGCCCGTCTTTGGGTGAAACAACAGCGAAATCAGTGACTCGCCCTTTAGCAG